TGCGCTTTTTTTTTTTTTTTTTTTTTTTTTTTGAATTCGTTCGAATCGCAATTAATAAATTACGCTTCCTTTATTCAACTCGAGATTCCAATGTTTCGCTCTGTTATTTTCTCGAATAAAAAAAACACACGGGAAATAATTAACACGTCGAAGGAATTATAATAAAAGTAGTACGTAACGCTGTTTAATATTTATCCGAAAAATTAAACATAAAACATCGATAAAATTTATAGAGTGTATCCAAATAACAGACACGTAGATCGGTGTAATTGGAGCACTTTCTTTCTCTCTTCATATTTCGGCACCTAATTTGCTTCGCATATTCGAGTTTGCCAATCGGAAGAAAAAGATCTTACTTTCTTTCGGTTGAATCGATGACTGAAATCTCGCGCATATCGAGGACCATTTTCCTCGAAAGTAGAACAGAAAATCTCTAAACGTATAAAAACCAATTTCCACTCGTTTCTTGACGATTAAATCCTATCCTATTTTTATCATTGATTAAAAAAAAAAACAATCGATTATTTTTGTCGATTCCAAATTCGATCATAAACGCGACAATTTTCGTTATATGATAATTTTTAATTATATGATAATTTTGGAATGAAAATTTGTCCAAATTGCGAAAGATTCGATTAAATTGTTTTCCAAATCGGTGAGAAAGTTTCTATGGATTTGCTCCCGTGCACATTCAGTCCTTGATTGTCATAATAGTACACGCATGCCTCGCGCATTTTACTTTTCCAGCCTGCCCGTTTTTTTCTAGGTCAGTCCCCTTGACTGCCACTTATTTTCACCGATCATTCCGTTTAGCGGTTTCGTATTATCTTAAATTCCCAATTATCGGTTTAGCGCTTTCTTCTTTCGAGGATCCTCGCACGTCCTCGCCAACTCGAACGAGTTCGAGTTTTACGAGGACGCGTTTAAGTAGAAAACGGGTGCAATTAATCCATGTGATCATCCATAATTGTTCCATAGTTCGAGATTCGGGGCAGCGAAGGGGTAGGCGAGCGGGAAATTTAAAAATTTCTCTCCTCGAGCATAACGATCGTTTAATAGGATATCTCGGATAATTATTTCGCATATCCCGTATAATTTTGGTTAAATTGGGATTTAATGAATAACCGACATTCACTCCGATAAATAAACGTGTCGTCGTATTGGGGTATAAAATTCGAGATATGCGATCATCACCTACGATTTAATCAGATCCGAGGCAATTCGATTTGAAATTTAAACGAGGAACAATTATGCGAAATAATATTTCGACCTGTGTTCTCAATATTCGGAAAATATATGAAATATTAATTTGCATACGGAATAATTTATTTTCAACTAACGAGTGATTTTGTTACTCGCTCGTTTTCCGAAACCGAAAGAAACGATCGTGGAAATAATAATCCCTGGGTCGGAAAAATTACGACGTTTCAAGCGTTGAGGAGTTTAATTAAACAAATTCCATATTTAACGGAAAGGAATAATTTGTTTGAAATAATTTCAAACAAAAATCATGAGATATTCGAAATTATCTCTAATTATCAATTCAAATGACACGTTACTCGATATACACTATCATTTCCAATCAATATATTATTTCAAGAATTTCCACAAATCTGATTTCAATTTATGCTTTTCCAATAATACAAACCAAACTTTATACTTCCATCCATATCGAGTTTCTATCATTTATTAAACTGTTTGATTAAATAGGATCGATCTCGATTAACAAATATTTCATATTCGATGCAGATTGTTCTCTTATCTTTGACCTGGCCATTTCAAAAATTTTCGCAAATCTGGTTTCAATTTATGCTTTTTCAATAATACAAATCAAACTTTATACTTCCATTCATATCGAGTTTCTATCATTTATTAAACTGTTTAAATAGCATCGACCTCGATTAACAAATATTTCGTGTTGCAAATCGTTTTCCATATATCTGGTTCCAATTTATGCTTCTTCTTAAACTTTATATTTCCATATCGAATTTCTATCATTTAAACTATTTGATTAAATAGCATCGATTAATAAATATTTCGTGGTCGATACAGATCGTTCTTTTATCTTTGACCTGGTCATTTCAAAAATTTCTACAAATCTGATTTCAATTTATATTTCTTTAATTAAATTTAAATTTAAAAAATTTATAGCATCGACTTCGATTAACAAATATTCGGTATTCGATGCAGGTCGTTCTCTTATCTTTGACCTGGCTATTTCAAAAATTTCTACAAATCTGATTTCAATTTATACTTCTTTAATTAAACTTTATATTTCCATCCATATCGAATTTCTATCATTTGTTAAACTGTTTGATTAAATAGCATCGATTAATAAATATTTCGTGTTCGATGCAGATTGTTTTTTTTATCTTTGACCTGGCCATTTAAAAAATTTCTACAAATCTGGTTTCAATTTATACTTCTTTAATTAAACTTTATGTTTCCATCCATATCGAGTTTCTATCATTTGTTAAACTGTTTAAATAGCATCGACCTCGATTAACAAATATTTGGTGTTCGATGCAGGTCGTTCTCTTATCTTTGAGCTGGCCACGCGTAACAGGTGCAGGAAACAAGAAGGCGGATGAGACGGCGTTCGATCAGATAGCGACCGCGTCCGAGAACGTGGCGCAAAACGCGGAGAAGGTGGAACAGAAGCGGGATAATTTTCGAGACCAGTTGATAACATCCATGATAGACACCACTGTTCACTACGAGAATTCAAACGGATTCGTGCCTATACTGATATCCCCCTCGGCATCGCCGTTCGATCCGCGCCAACAACTCGTTCTGGAAAAAGGAAAAGAAACGATCAACGCTACTTTGAACAATTCTTTGAACGAGAATGAAAATTCGAGCAGAATCGGGAATAGCGGCGAGGAAAAGGAGGGGACGAAGGAAACGGGGGAGGGCGACGACTTGGCGAACGATCCCATGTACTCGACCGAGGCGAGAATACTGCT